AAAATGGGGTTTATCTGCACGTTTTGCTGTTTCTTTTAAGATACAAAAGAGCCCGATGCTAAAATTGCCAAAACCGAGGAGGAGGCTCCAGATGAGGAGGAAGAAGAGAAGGCCACAAAACCCCCAGCTGGGAGTTCCAAGTCAGGGTGGAAGAACTGGAAGAAGACAAAAGAGTCCGACTCCGGGGGGGAGGAAAGCAAGATCACCTACTGCCACTGGCTGCTGAAATCAGAACCAGAGAGCAGGCTGGAGAAGGGAGTGGATGTGAAAGTAAGCACCTGCACCCACCCTTACTCGGCAGAGTACAGCAGCAGTTTCACTACTGTCCCCGCAGCGCTGAGTTACAGGCTCAGACAATTCAGATGACCACTGTTGTGTCTTTGCTCCTCATTTGGCTTCCTGCAACCCCCCTGTGTTTTCATTCCATTTGGCAGTTCAGCATTGACGACTTGAAAGCTCAGCCTAACCAGACCACCTTTTGGGATGGAGTGAGAAACTACCAGGTGAGGAGCGCAGGGCAAAGAGGGAGGCACTGCAGTAGCACTAGGAAAACTCTTCCTTTGCCTGAAGGAAGGATTTCCTCTTGGGGCACTGCCTGGCTGGGCTGGTACAGCTCTGTCAGGAGGCAGAACTCCCGTTTAGGTGCCCTGGGTCAAAGGTAGGGTCAGGTTGGGCAATGCTCTGTTACATCATCTGGTTTTCCTTTAGCTTAGACCAGCCTTTACTCCCCTTGACAACCTGTAGCAAGTCTGTACTTACCCAAACACTGTGCCCTGCCGGTGTACATCAGCTTTGTGTTCCAGGCCCCTCCGCAGAGGAAATCCACCCCTATAGATGCCTCCCCCCCATACATGCTGCTTGTTTGCTGACAGCAAACTTAAGTCTTCCCTCTCTAAATGAGCTGTTGAATTCTCACCATCAGGAGCTTGCCTTTAGCCTTGTTTTTATCTCACATACACTCTCGGGTTAGGTCTTGTTCCTGCTGCTTGTAATGAAACCCTGAGAGCTCGATGCAAAGAGCTCCAAGTCTCTTCTTTACACCTGACAGGCAAGGAACTTCCTGAGAGCCATGAAACTTGGGCAGCAGGCCTTCTTCTACCACAGTAACTGTAAAGAGCCTGGCATTGTTGGCATTGTCAAGGTGAGTGCCTCTTTCTTGTCCAGTGTTTTGGGGCAGGGAATGGGTTATCCAACAGCTCCTTAGCCCTGCATGTCAGAGCGCTTCCAGCCAGGTCAAGTGTTGTTCCATACTCTGATTAAAATCTGATTCACCCAGTTCTAGTCAGTAGCAAAACCTCGGGCACAGAACAGCTTCTGCAGGAGGAGAACTCACCACAAAGGCTCTCATCCTCTGCCCAGTTTTCCTCTGTCCTGTGTGCTCCTCCACACCGCTCTCCACAGAGGCGATGGTGCTTCCTTGACAGCCCTCCTGCTCTGCAGTGCTTCGACCCAAGAAGTGAGCAGGAAGGAAATGGATCTGCCTGTTAGAATGGAGTCCAGGGAGAGCCAGGCCGCTGCTTGCATCAGGATTAGTCCTTCTGTCTAGTCACAGCTTGCTCAAGGGCATTTCGTAGCCTTTGCTGCCAATAGCTTTCAACTGACGTCTCACATTCTTCTCCCTTTCTGCTTCAGATCGTAAAGGAGGCTTACCCTGATCACACACAGTTTGATCAGAAGAATCCTCATTATGATTCCTCCAGCAGAAAAGAGAACCCCAAATGGTCCATGGTAATGTAGTCAACTAACTACAGCTGCTTCAAGCTCTGTGTGCAAGCTGAGTGGAGGCAGAAGCCTCTCTGCATCATACTGTCTCCTTAAGCTTCTGGCCTGGCCTAGCTACCTTTTTCTCTCTCTCAAGAGAAAAGCCAATCCTGATAGTTGCTCTGCCTTTTCCCCTATATCTTCCAGAAGGCTGCCAAATATATCTCCCCGAATCTTTAAATCTTGGATGCAGACTGACATCCATGCACAGCGGGATTCTGGGTTAGGAAAGAGAACGAACACCTTTCAGTACCACTCTCAGCCCAGCACAAAGCAAGCTGTAGTTTTGAGGCACACTAAATGGCAGGGAAGTGGCTGTTCCCAGCCTGGCTCCATCCCACAGCTTCATTCTGCATGGCCTGTGCCAGCACGGATGTGCGCTGCTAGTGCCCGGTGCTCACATTCCTGTAAGCAAATCACCTGCCAGGAGCATCCCAAAGTTCTTTTAGCCTCGAGCGAGGAAAAGCTTCCACGCCATTGTAAGGTGGCATTTGCTTCAGTTTAAAGTCTTTATCCCCCCCTCTACCAAAGATCTTACGTGAGGTCTGGAGGCTCTGTCCTCCTGCAACCACGCTCCTCTGGTGCCCATCACTTCCCAGGTGGACGTGCAGTTTGTGCGGATGACCAAGCGGTTCATCCCCCTCTCCGAGCTCAAGGCTCACCACTTGGCACACAAAGCAGACGGAGGCCCCCTCCAGAACATGATGCTCTTCACGAGACAACGGCTTTCCATCCAGCCACTGACACAAGGTAAGAACCTTCTTCTCTGCGCTCCTGGCGCCGTTCCCAGCCCTCGCAGGTCCCACTTACGGCTTTTCCTTCCTTACCTTTCCAACGCAGAGGAGTTTGATTTTGTCTTGAGCCTGGAAGAGGAGAAGCCTCATTAAGAAACTGCCAGCAGCACGGTTTGTACCTGCCACTGATGCCTCCTCCTAAACCAGCCTAATTCCCAACTTCCCTTGCTCAACCCCAGCAACAAAACGTGCCCGCACACGACCCGCAGCTCCACATCCCTCCTTCTGACACACTGTTCCTGGCTTCTTTTTAAATAAAGCTTTTGAGACTCAATTGCACTTACTCCTTTTTGAGAGCAAAATTAGCTCTTGAGGGACCAAACGTCCTCCTTGTTGATGTTTACTCCAGGGGGAAGGTTTAAACACACCCCGAGCTTGCTCGCTGCAGAGCACGTCAGTTCACTTCCTGTAGGTATGAGACTCCCCGTGTTAGATCCAAGCTCTGCCATCAGGGGGATGGATGATACTACAGCTGCCTTGCTCATTTTTAAGCTATAAGGATCCTCCCCTAGCAAAGCTTCTAAGCACTGCCACAGCCTCAAGAAAGACCAAGGATTTCCAAAGCCACCAAAGGACCGAGTGCTCCGGGAGGGCCGCGCTGCACAGCACTAAAGGGAGAACGTCTTCCCGGCACGAAGAACCCGAGCCCAGAGCTGGGCACCATGGACCACACGAGAGCAGGTCGTGCACAGCATTGACAGCCCAGGGCTGGCTCTTTTTAATCGGAGAGACAAAAAAAAACCCCAAGTTTGAAAATACAGCCATTGAAAAGACGACGAATTAAGAAACATGTAAACACAGCAGAGGCTTAATTACAGGTTGCACGGCTTGCTTGGAGTACTTGCACACTGCTCCTGCTCCAACCTGCCTGGGGGAGAGGGAGTGAGCCAAGTACTCCACAGAACCTCAGGGGACACGGCTGCTCCAGTGGTGCTGCCCCTTTACCGTGCTAAGGAACACCTCCCTCCGCGGGGTTTCTTTAATACCACACGGCCTACGAGCAAGAGGAATGAATGGGCAAGGACGGGAATTCCAGGTGGGATGGGAGCTGAGGGGAAGCTAGAGCGGGGTTAGGGTGCTGCTGTGCTCAGCTAAGCCATGGAAGGATAGTCTGCTATCCCCAGAGGCTCCCAACGGGAGCGTCGCTTGTCCCTAATAGATTGTGTATTGCCGCAGCACAGGTCCCCCTACACAGAGGGGGAGAGTAAGGAGTAAATCCAGGTCCCTTTGCCACCGAGGCCTGCAGCAGGTTCCCACCCCCTGCCCTGGCACAGGGCACTTGTCTGAAGGCAGCTTTTGCTCCAGGCTCAGGCAGACCCGGCTCCAGGCCACGGCACAGACCTCTCGTGTGCAGAAAGCAAGAGAGCAGAACATGGTGAGTGAGACACAGCACTGGGCAGAGAGGAGCTCAGCAGTGCCCTCGACAACAGCACGAGGCTGCCCAGCTCTACTAACAGCCACAGCCTTACACGTGGTGAGTAAAAGAGAACTTACTTTGGCAAGCAGAAACACACATTTATCACTGCAATACAGTAGCTGTCTTAGTACACAAAAAGCTCCCCTTCCCACCCAGGCCCCGCTCCCTCCACCAGCACTGCTCCACTCAACAAAGTCCTTCCACGTCCCAGCTGCAAGACTCTACACTGAGCTCTAGGACAGAGGGAGAAGACATTCCAGCCCAAAGGAAGCCACCGGCTCACAGGGAAACCCAGACAAAGCCCACTGATAGAGCTCATATCCCAGCATTTCCCACAGGCTTCTCTCTCTCCACCTGGTAGGAGGTCTAGCCCCCTGCTTCCTCAAAGGGCATCTAAACAGGGTGGATATTCTCCAGACTCCATCAAGTCTACAAAGCCACATCTAATTGTTAATGGAGGAATGACTCCCTTCTGGGAATGTTCTCATGATTTCACTTAGCTGAAGACTAGGAAAAAGCTTAATTCAGGGAAGGAAAAGCCCACATTTGGGTTCTCAGTTCACAGCACTCCCCTCCCACCCTCAGCTCGGACCTTAGGGACGTGCCTCTGGAATCACAGAGCTCTACCATCCTTCCGCTTGCTGCTTGGCTTCATCTAGCAGCACACACAGGCCATAAGCTTCTTAAAACCATTTCATCCACTTTGTCCTTCCTAATCCCCATCCCGCCGGCGCGAGGAGGCAAACACAACAAATACACACGTGTTTCTATGCTGCCCTGTCTGTCCCTACTACAAAGTCTGCTCTGCCACAGGAAGGAGCAGGACAGCGTGTGCAGCAATAAGCCCGCTCCCAAGAGAGCCCCCGTTGATGCCTCACCTCCCAAAAGCATCCTCTCGAGCTCTCCAGGCTGCTCTGCAGCAGCAACCAGCGAGGGGCCCTCAGGCAGGTGCTGGGACACCACTAGGAAGGCACTGCTCTTGGCCAAGAGCCTTCTGCCCCCACCTCTTGCCCACCCAGCAGCACTGGGACCTTCACAGCTCTGCCACCTCCTCCTGCCGCCTTGTGCCTCGCTCCCTCCTACCGGGCACAGCTCCCCCTTGCCACGACAGGCTCCACAGCAAGGACACTGCTGAGTCAGTGTCATGATACAGCTGTTTGTCACCAGGAATCCAGCATGGAAAGGAAGGGGAAGCAGCGAGGGGAGAACACTCAGCTTTCCAAGTAGGCCACACCTCAGGCTCCGAGTCCCTCCTCTACCTTCCAAGCTAATCCCTGTGTCCTTTTCCCCCTCGGGTAGGTTCCAGAAAGGCAAGAAAACATCCATCCTCCACAGCAACCTCCACCCCGCTGGGAAGCAGCAGCAGACGCGGCCTTCACTTGCTCTCTCCCTCCCCACTGCCACACCAACAGGGTCTCGGGGCAGAGAAGGGATCA